AGAAGAAGAAGAAGAAAAAGAGTAGGAGGAGAGGGGATGGAGGGATGGGGAGGGGAGGGAAGGGAAGGGAAGGGAGAGGAGAGGGGAGGGAACAAGAAGGGAGGGTAGGGATGGAAAGTCAATTTTGAGGAAAATCTTACCTTTGGTAGGAACACACAACCCAGTAAGAATGTTTAAGAGTGTTGATTTTCCAGCTCCACTGTGACCAAGTACTGTGGTGATCTGGCCTTCATATATGTCAAATGCTAGGTCTGGGAAGAAAGCAGGGAGGGAAGAATAGGAGAAACAAGGAAGGAAAGCAAAAAATGCCACACATAGACATGGGTTTCATAGGGAGCCTCTATACTTTGTATGTGTTCCAACTGTACAATCATGGTTTCTAACAATCTAAATTTGTTTATTTGTCAAGTCACAATTAATACTACAATATCCCTCTTCTGTAAATTTCAAAAGTATGTGATTTTAAAGAAATGAAATAGGTTTCACATGCCTAGGTTCAACAGTATTGCCAAGCATATTAAAAACACTTCATAATAATCTCATAAATAAAAATAGATCAATAAGTAATAAATTATCATGTAGCTAAAAGCCCTATAGGCCACATATATTTTTGCATCCCCTACAAAGCAAAACACAGACAATTTCAAAAGATGTCTATCAAGCTACATTAGAAACAATATGAGTTGCAGGGCAAAGTCATTGAACAAACCCACTGTTGTATGGCAGTTATTTCATATGCATATAATTCCAAAAGTACTCAAAACAAAGATAATAGTGCAGTTGGATGGAAAAGTAATCATGAGATTCAAACACCCATTTGTAAAGTCTAAAATAAATCTACCAATTGCTCACCAAGGGAAAAGCTAGTTAATTAAAATCAAAACTTTTATGTAAAAATATAAAATGTCTCTTTTACCTTTCAAAGCTTCTACACTTTTAGGCTTTCCTTTATATTCTTTGGTAAGGTTTCTGATTCTGACAAAAAACAGAAAGAAAAATTAAATGTGACAATTTTCTTCGGTGTGTAATTCTGAGTCTGAGTGAGAGGATTGTAATTTCTGTCTTTAAGTACAAGAACATCTGAGAGTCAACTTCACTTAGTCATCATTAGATGTCACTAACACTTTGTTATCGTTTAATCTTGAGACAGGATTTAGCTAAGTCACTAAATTGTTCAAGCTGTGCTCAAACTTATGATCCTACTGTCTCATCTCCCAAAGTGCTAGAATTATAAGGATGGGTGACCAGGTCTGGCTGGTGCTAGAAATATAAGATGGTGCTAAAATTATAAGATGGTGCTAGACTTATAAGGATGGGTGACCAGGTTTTCCACATTAGAATTAATAGAGAATGTTTTAAAATTTACCATTGTGAGACCCCACCAGAACAGACTCTAATTCCTTTGGTATTATGGTTGTGGCTTAGGCACTGGATTCACAACCAGCCTCATCTTTGAGCTGGATCATCTTCACTGATGGGACAGCTAGACAGTGAGATAACATAGACACCTAAGATGACAATGCTGTACGTAAACCACAGCAGGAGGCTGGAGATAAGGTTTCCAATTTAACATGATCCAGAATCTCTTAAGATGGTATAAGGGTGGAGACAAGAATTCAGTCCATAAGTGAGCTACTTGGTATCATCCCATTTATGTCACTTATGTTTCATGTTGCCTACCTAACAGATGATTCACAGTAAACATTCAAAAGTATTGGATGCTATTGATTAGATGACAAACACTATTTTAGCAGAAGTGACGGCAATTATGACTATCAGGACAGAGTACCAACTTGACTGGCTTTAACATTAACCCAGGCAACTGGTGGAGCGTATATCTCAGTATGTTTGAGTGGACCACGCAAATATGACTTTAGGGTCCATTTCTGGTCCCTTGTCCCTTCCTCTGTGGTTGTGCTCTGTTCTGCTTCCCGGCCACCAAGAAGTAAGCAGCTTTGTCTCACCACACTTTTTGTCATGCGTTTCTGCCCTGAAGCCAACTGACCATTGACTAAGTCCCCGGAACCACTAATCAAATTAAACCTCTCCTTCTCTAAGTTGTGAGGATCAATATTTTTTTGCCTCAGTGACAAAAAAACCACAACTGACTGCTATAGTAATTATCTATGGCTCTTAGGATAGCTATGGAATCTAAGGTTCTCTATCTACTAGATTTTATTCTACTAAGAAAATACATGATTCATTAACATCCAATTTGTGTTTGTTGTTTGTCACCTACAATATTTTACCATATAGTTCAGGTTTTATTTTTACTGATAAAATTAATTTCTGCCTCTAGTTTAACCCTATCTTTCATGGGAATCCCAAGGCCCACAGAACTTCTGATTTGCTAAGTTACTGGAAAAAGTATGAAAGAGATGAACAAATCAAAGCCACTTCCCAGTGTAACTTTCACTGCCTGAGATTAAGTCTAGTTCAAAGCACAAGACAAAAAGTGTGATGCTAGCAATGGAATAGGCTATAAAATATAAACTAAGTAGGTCCTATTAGCAGCCAGGAGTAATTTTTAACAGCTCACAGTGGAGTGGACAAGAGCAGGTATGATGGATGAGAAGGGGACCTTAATGCTTTCTCTTCCTTATTTGCCAATAAATGCCACTAACTCCAAACAAAATGGAGACTTTTATTGTCATACACAAAGGAGATGCTCATGACCCTAAAAGGCACATTTTCTTGAAACCTTTGTGTTCATCTCTAGGCCTTTGCGTTCTTCTTTCCTTCTCTTTTATATTCTTTATTGAAACGATAAATAGATGAGGAGAAAAAAGATTGGAAAAGAAAAATAGGTAATATGGATGACATGGGGAAAATGTGAAGCACTGAAGGAAAGTAAAAGATGCCGAAGTGGAGAAGAAGGACAGCAAGTACAAGCAGAGTGGAACTTGAATAGTAACACCCTCTGCATTTTAAAGGAAATGGAGAACAGAGCACAGTGACAGTTACAGACACAGCTAGGTGAGGTTAGACAGGAGCCATGGGAAGGACCTAAAACAAGATTCCCATGGCCTCAGTGTTGTCTGGAGCAGGCTTCAGGCTTCAGGCTGAGTATAACATCCAGCCATCCTCTGCCTACCACATATTCCCTTACCTGATGGCTTTTTTCCCTTGAAATTCTGTAGACACTGGTTCAAAAGCCTCATCAGAAAACTCAGGCTCTGTTTCACTCTCAAGGGCCGTATGATCAGCTGGTTTTTGTTGATGCCAAAATGAGGAATTCAGGAAAAACAAGGGTGAATGTCGATGTCCATATTCATCTAGGTGACGAAGACAGAATTATATGAGATCAGCTATGGTTTTAAGGGTCACTGGATTACTAGTGACATGAGCACATTGTCAACAAAATGAATGCTGTCTTAAAGTGTTTGATATGGACAGTATAAAGAAAAAATTACTAGTTCTTACTATTATATTTATATTAAAATAACTAGCTTTATAAACAATACACATGGGATGAACAATACAGATGATTGAATTTTAAAGTAACATTAACAACTCTTCTAACCTCGCAATAACTGAAAGACAGACCTAGCATGCACTGTGTGTTGTACCGTCAATAAAAATATGAGAAGTGACTATTAAACAGATAAAATGAATAATTTTAGGGAAGGCAGCATAACTTAACAAAACCATTTAACAGCTCTTAAGAATGGAAGAGAACAGACAGTAGAGTCTTTAAAATAATAAGGGAAGAAAGGCACTAACTCTCCACCTATACTATAATCAGAATAAATTTAATGTATTCCTAGGTTCCTCTTATGATGTGCATTTCTTTGGTTGCAGGAAAAATAAAAATCTCAAGTGGTATGAAATGCATGTAACTGGGGTTTCTGAAGGAATAGAGAAAAAAATGAAAATGATTCAAGGAATAACAGCTAAAATCAAATGGCTTAAAATCAACAAAGAGACAAATCTTTAAAGGTACGAGAGCAAAAGAGACACTACGCAGAGAGCAATACAAATAAGAATGGCAGAATTCTTCCAGGCGAGGACAATGTAAGCTGAAAAATGGAGGCTCCTATCAATAAGTGGTTTTTAAAAATTGGCTTAAAATTTTGAAAGAAAACAAAAGACTATGAACTTTAGACTCTATGCTCAGTGAACATGTTTTTTTTTTTTTTTTTTTTTTTTTTTTAAAGAAATGAAGGAAAAATAAACAGCAGGGAAAGATGAGATATACAGGCTGGAATACATCAACACCTAATAACAAGAGTTATGCTAATAGAAAAATTATGCATTAGATTTTCTCAAGTTTTAAATGGAGGCCTGAGAAAAGATGAACTGTAGCACATGCTTCACAAGATTCTGGTTAATATTCAAAGTTATAACTCTACACTGGCTTTGTAGGGAAATCTCTTGCCTCCAGACACTGCTTAGTGAGTAGAATGAGTGGTACGTAAAGGGTCCTGCTTGCTACAGCACTTGGAAAGAAAATCAAACAAAGAATAAAAAAGCTGGGGATGGAGAAAATCAAGCAGTATCTTCCAAGAAGAAAAGGAAAGAAAAAGAATGAAGAATTAGTACTCTTAGTTTGCTTGAAATAAGAGTACACTATGAATAAATACTGAAATTTGAACACAAATACAAATACCTTTGCCATTTAACAATGGAGAGAAAAACACAGCAATAAAACATAGAAAACTACTTTCAACCATTTCTTAAAGAAATCTGTACAAATTAGACAAATATTATTGGACCATTAACATTGGGTGAATAAATATTTTTTTCACCTTATATTGCACCAGCTTTTGTCAGTGGTGGGCAAAATAAAAGGTGAAAATATATCATTTAAACACTATACATACAGACAAAGACAAATTCAAATGTGTATGCCTGAATATATAGTAAGCTACTTATATCATATCATAAATGTATTTCTCATATCCTAAACATGAGAAATCAAGTGAAATGTTGTATTCTAAACATTTGAAGAGAGCAGACACAATCACCCTGTGTACATTATTCTCACAAATCAACATGGCCAGTTAACTAATCAAGAAATCCTTCTGCTTCTCTCCTCTCACTGATGCATCTCTCTCCCTTTCTTTCTGTGTTTACTTGTGGCCTTTTGGGGTAGAGCCCTGGTTACTTCGACTGCATGGGGAAAAAAGGGCAGGGAAGACATAGTGTCCGTCCTTGAGCATGGATGGTAGCCTAGATAAGTGCACAAATATTTACTGAGTACCTACGATGTATCAGACCCTCTGAGTTGTATCAGCCAGTGAGACAAAAAATGGGGAGCTTATATTTTAGAGACACATTAATACATTGCAGGAGAATGAAATTATAAATATTTGATTAAATGCTCTTTTATGGTAGTCTACCTGCACATCCTAAGCATTTTGAGAGATTTTTGAAAATATAGATGGCATGGTGTTACTTCCCAACAATGGGATAAGAATGTCTGGGATTGAACTGATTTTGTTTTTTCCTTAAATACCTTGCAACTACATGAATAAAACTGGAGGGCATTATGTTAAGTGAAACAATTCAGCACCGTAAGAAAAACAGCATATGACCTGGCTTCTTGTTGAACTGAAAAAGGTTGAAATAATAGAAGCCTACAGTACAGTGGAGGTTACCAGGGGCTAGGAGGCCAGAGTAGAGCTGGAGAGATGTTGGTTAAAGATATAAAATCTCAGACAGGAGGAATACATTCAAGACGACTTACCCCAAGGTGACTGTACATAATGGCAATATGTTACAGTGAAAATTGCTAAAAGAATGGATTTTAAATTTTCTTATCACAAAAACAAAAGTGTATGAAATAATACATATGCTTATTAGATTGCTTTAGCTGTTATTCCACAGTCAAAGATATTTCAAAATTTCATGTTATGCAGGACAAATACACAAATTGTTGGTTAAATAAAAAAATAAGCAAAGTTCCTGGGTGGTTCTGGTATGCAAGGAGAAGTTAGAACCACTGATGTTTTTTATTTTAAAAATAAAAGAATGAAAACATGTTAACAAACACACAGACGTTTACAAGACAACACAAAAACAATAAAAGCAATACAAAATTTCAGACAAGGTGATAGGAAATTAACAACGATAGTTGTATTACATTTTGGTATTTTCAAATTGGTTGCTCAGATAAACTAATATAGGCGTATAAGGTTGATCAAACAATTAAACATTAACTGTTCATTTCAATCAAGATCAGTGGTCCTAAACATCAGTGATTTCTAGAGCCACTGATTTTTAACTAGCTATAAATTTCTATGGTTAGGAGCAAAGTCAGAGAGTATTTAGGAATCAAATGTCCTACATATATAGAGCAGAAAAAGACAGAAGAAAAGCTGACCATACACTTACTTAAACTAAATCACTATTGATTGTGTACAACAACATTATATGTCAATTCTGAGCAAAAGTGAATAAAACAAATAATTTTGTTGGGCCAGTGGTTATGTTTATCTCCTTCCCGTTAATGCACAAATTCTTGAAATATAGGTAACACATTTGTAGAAGATTATTTACAAGAAATGCAATTATAAAAATAATGTTCAGTTTCATTGCCCTGCTACTTACTTGGCAAAATTTTTTCAAAATAAAACGTCAATGTCAGATAGAAGAAACTATCAAGGAACAACATGAAAATTGTAACTATAATTAGATTTGAGTCACCCACTGCATCCGCATTAGAATTCATATCAAAATCCAAGTGTAAGAGCTGAAAATTAAAAATAAACCAATAAATGAAAGGCAATTAACTCTTTTAATTCTTTTAAAATTGAGCTATAACATAGACTGTAATTATTACTTTTTGCCACATCCTGAAAATACAAAGTTAAATTATTTAGCTGTTAACTGTATGGTTTTTGTTGGAAAGCAGGGACACGTCTAAAGTATACCTTAATTTAGTAATAGGGACAGTAGATCTATGTTCTACATGTAGAGGGAGGACTTGATAAATATAGGGAAATCAGAGAAGATGCAATATTGAAGCCAGCACTTACACAGAATTTCACTAAATTAGAAATGGGGATGAGGTTTCAGGAAATGGCTGTCTGAGAAAATGTTACAAAATTGCACTGTTAACTTAAGGAAAAGTCAATAGAATAACATTGGCTGATCCATATTTCTCAGGCAAAGGAGTATTATGCAGTTAATTTCTTATAAGCGCAAGAGAGTGGAGATTAATTATTGGTCTTACTGTATAGTTGAGGGGCAGAGATGATCTCTTTAGCATAAGAAAATAGGGAAAGAGAAGAAAAGATATTTTAAGAATGAGAAAATACTTCTTAGACAATACTTGACTAAGAAATATTATTTTTAATTTCTTTTGTTTTATAATTTTCAGAATTTCATCATATAACATTTTTTCTATTATTGAGTGAAATGGCGAATAGAATAAGTTAGAATTCAATTTATAATATGAATTCCATTTGGGGAGCAGATGAAACACATTACTACTGTTTTGTAAAAGATTGTGAGTCTGTTTGTTTTTTTCTTATTACTTACAAAAGAACTTATTTTCTAGAAGAAAATCTCTCGTGGCTTTTAAAATTCATCTTTGTAACGTCATGAGCATGTTTTTCGGCAAAAGCAAAAGGCTTCCAACTCTAAACATGGAACACTGACTATATAGACTGTTATATTTTCAGAGGGGAATGGTATTTGGGAAATGTCACTAGTAAATAAACGCTCACCTGGGCCATTCCAAGTGTGAAGGCAAAAGGGCTAAACAAACTTAAAATCCACTCCAAAGACGCAGGAAGGTATCGGTATAACGCCATGAACCCCAGGCTCCCCCAGATGACAGTGACAAGGAACACAACAAAGCCGGTGAGGAAAGGCTTCTTTAACAAGACGCTCATCAGGAAAGCCAACGTGATCTACAATGAAAGAATATCCAGTTGGTTTATATTTCTTTAATAATTACTAATGCAACAAAAGATTCAAGTAAAAATTATGGTTTACACTAAACCTTTAACTACAAATTGGCACCACGAAGCACTACAAATCGAACAGTGCCCATCCATGGATTGTTCATGCCAACCGAAAAGGAGTATGTGAGGAATGTCTTCACCTGAAACCGTTTGTTTCTTTGAAGGAAAGCTGGACGCAGAGAGATTTTATTCAGCAACTCACCAAAGACAGTCCATAGAAGAAAAAGAGGCCGAAGACCACCGTGAAGCCAGTCAGGATGACAAATTGGACCGATTTTGTAATAAATGCCAGGGAAAGGGCCAAAATGAAGACAAAAGCAGCGTAGAGCAAACCCCAGGAGAGCCTGATGTGGAAACGAAGGGTTATTTCAGTATCTGATGTTCAGACGGACACAAGTACCCAGCATTGAGACTGATATTATCACCCTTCACTCACTCGCTCCCTCACTCCCAGTTCTACTTGGACCTTCTGTGGTATATAAATAGAACTTGATTATTTGGAGCAGAAGGAAGCTGTGAATTTTCTTTGAATTAATACAAAAAAACACACACAGATCTCCGGAAGGTTGGAGAGAAAGAAGTCTTACAGTTTTGATTCATAACGCTCTCCACCATATTCTAGCTCTGTGGCCTCTGACAATCTACAGAACTGTTTTAAACTGCTGTTCTCTGTTGGAAAATGAGAGTAACAGGAGTGTGGATTCTAAGATAAGGGATGCACGGAGCCTTGCCCCTCTGTGGCAATCCTTGCTTAAATGTTAGCTTCTTTTCACCATAGGCAAAGGGTCTTTAATATAAAAATAAATTCATAAATATTTATAAAAACAAGAAATTATTCCTTATCCTTATTCTAATGCTTCTCTGTTTTCCCAGGGTTGCTATAATCAGGTTCTTCTTTCTCCTTATATGGGCACCTAATACTCTGCATATTTTAAAAGTCATGTTATAGTAAATAGAACGACCCTTAGCCTCTTACTACTACTAAATTATCTCCCATTGTCCTTGTAAGATATTTATTTTCCATTCCTCATTAATATTTTCTCTGACAATCTAGTTTTTCTCTACTCTCAAAAATGCTTAATAACCAATTAAATAATACTGTTTCAAATACTAATAAAGTATTATTAAACAATTAAGAAGTTAGTGATACTTTATTATGGTTAATAGGTAACTTATGTAGCCTTTCCTACTTTCCATATAGATATTTACTGCTCTATATAATATTTGTGAATCTTAGTCATTTACTAATTTATATATCACAAGATGCCTACGGAATAAGTTTTACTATTCCTTCCATGTTGCAGAAGAGAAACCTAAAAAATGAAGCGGATTTATTTCATCTGACAGACAGAAGTTAACTTGCAGAAAATTTATAGTAAATCATTCCAACCCATAATTATTTATATAATTTCTGTTTGCACAATGCAAATTATTTTTTTCAGGGAGAGAATGTAAAAGTCTCTAAGTCAAATCCCCCTTTCATCTGATCCTATAATATTACAGGCTCATTTGAAAATGGGCTAGTCTGATTCTATAATCTATGTCTAGTCTTAATATTGTATGATTCCAACTGTATAACACTTGAGAATAAGTAAAATGGTAAAGAAAATAAACAGTCAGTGATTTTTAGGAGTTCAGGGGGCATAGAGAGTACAATAGATAGAACATATAGCAACTTCAGGACAGTGAAAGTGTACTCTGAGACACCATAATGGCACATACATGATATATCTGTTCAAATCCACTGAACTGTATAACACAGAATAAGCTCTTACCTACTATAGTTTTTACTTATAATGATGACCCAGATTAATTTATAAACTGTGATTCATGGATCATAGATTAATGCAAGATAAATATTAACAGCAGACATTGTCGGGAGATAGGAAACATTGTCTTTACTTTCTGCTCAGGAAATAAAGTCCATGGCTTAAATTATAAATTTAAAAATGTTCCCACTATGATTCTGACATATCATATGATCAGGAAACATATTATCTTCTGTTAAATTGGACTCTAAATATGAAGTTTTATATTCTTTCAGAAACACATTACCCAAACTGTCCAAACAAATGTTGACTGTCATTATTTACTGATTACTTGATGCTTCTCAAAGTACAGGTTAGGATTTTGCTTTTTTGTTTTTGGCAGTAGGAATTGAACTCAGGACCTTGCACCTGCCAGCAGGCGCTGTGCCACTGAGCTGCACCCCTGCCCAGGTTAGGATTTTGTAAGAATGGTCTTATTAGGGACCAGCGTGGCTGGATATTATTTCCCCTTTGTGCAGAAAAGGAAACAGAGAATTAATATTTTAGGCAATTTTCTCATGTAAACATAACTAGTGCGGGAAGGTGAGATTTGAATCAATGTCTTTCTGGTAATGTTAATGGTTCTGTTCTCTTTTTCTGATTGGAAGCTGGCACTCAGGAGTGACATGGGCATTTGTCTCAATATATTCATTACAGTGGCACCTTTTTCTTTGATGCCTTCAAAATGGTGTGATGTTAAAGTCACCCAATAACCCTTCTCTTGTTCTAGCAAAAATCACATACCTCCGCAGAAAATGTTTCATTAAATGTCAGAAACTCTAAATCCTCATGAATCTGAAAGCAAGAAATACTGGTTGTTCAATATCTAAAATATCACCTCAAATGACAGTTATACAACCCCTTATTCAACTCAGACCAAAGTGTGGCAAAATATTGGCAAGCATTATAGCAGGAGCAGCTATACTATGCAGAATAAAAAAAGTTAGAATGTGACAGGTTCAAATACTTCGGCTTTCTACCTAGAAACCCAGTTTTTCCGAGCTGCTCCCTTTATTTATTTGGGCTACTTGTGACTCACCAGAATGCCGAATCGCAGAGCCCCATCATTGACATCAAGCCCTTCATCCTCTTCCTCTCTCTTGTGACATTAAGTGAGACATAGTAAGTGAATGGGGAGAAACAAATAATGCAGGTAAAAATGAAGAAATCTGTTATCAGTCCTTCTTGATGAACAAAGGGATCTATCTTCATGTGTTTTCCAGTAACTGACATCAATTCTTCCATCACTGATTGATTTGTTGTGATCTAAACAAAATTGGTGAATTCAGACGATATCCTGTTTTCTTCCCCTGAATGTATAACGGGCTTGTCTGGATTCAGGGCCAAGCTGACTTTCCTCTTGCATATTCTGCCCCTGGAACACCTGCCATACATTCTGGTCGACCCCAAGTTCTCAGGCTTTACAATATGTTTTATCACCTCCATGCCTACCACGGCCTGATCAGCTTTCTTGGAATTTCCCTTCCCACCTGATGAAAGAGACAAGCTTCCCACCTGACTGTTCAAGCATCAATATTATTTCAATAGAACTTGCTCTGTAGTATTCTAGGTTGACACTCTTGCTTGTTTATTCACAGGAACTTATTAACTGTGCTAACACACTCCTGTTCTAATAGTTATCTGATTACATGCCAAGCTTCCTGACAGTACTGAATACCTTTAGTGAAATTACCCGTTCTATATGTTGCTATCTCCATCTTTATATTACACTTGACCTATGGCTCAAAAATACATGAGCAAATGAACAACTAAAAAATGAGTGAAAGAGTAACTTAATGAGTAAACAAATGAAAGACTATGGCTTTTTTTTTTTTTTTTTTTTGTCTTTTTATGACAGGGTCTGGCTTTAGACTTCAGACTGGCCTTGAGCTCACTTTATAGCCCAGGCTGGTCTTGAACTCACAACGATCCTCCTGCCTCAGCCTCCCAAGTGCTGGGATTACAGGCATGCGCCACACCACGCCTGGCCGCTATGGCTTTTTATTTATATTTTCTTTCACAAAAATTTTGACAATTCTAATACCATTAATTGCATTGAATATCAATTTCAGTGGAGCATGAGTTTACATTGAATGTTTTGTACTTACTTCTATAATAGCAGCATTAATAGCAGCTTGAAGAGTCACAAAACCTTTTGTCCAGAACTGTGAAATGCCACAATCAAAACCATCTCCAAATTCATAGCAATGAGCTTTGGGGGAAAAAACAGAAGCATAACTCTGAGGATAGTAGATAAGTAGGGGACTAATTTTATTGGTTTATTGAAAGGAACAGTTAAAGCTTAAATTCTTTTGACCAATTTTGCATGCTTACATCTGGTAATCTGAGCAACTAATTTGAAGGCAACAATATGCAATGTAACATCTATTGCTGAATTCCTATCATCTTGTTTTGTGGAATTCTGTATCGTTTCTAATGATGTTTAAATATTTTTTTATTCTCTGTAAAATAAAACAACTTTTAAAAAGGAAAATATGGGAAATAAGCTCAACAAATATGAGATATACACTGAGCCATACACAGAAAATATATGAGAAAGCTGCAGAGTGAATCTTAGAATGAAAACAGAAATTAAGGAAGTCCTCTGTTCGCCTCTGTTTTGATTGTAAGAAAAATAGATTTTACACTGTCCCCAAACTCCAAAAGTTTGTACATTGGCTCCAAACCCATAAAAGCACAAATTCTGGTAATGATCCTCGAAATGTAGAGAACAGAGCACTCCTGCTTAATTCTGAAAGCTTTCCTTAATTTCTGTCTTTATTCTAAGATTTACTTTGAAGCACTCTCACATTTTCCTCTGTGTATTGCTGCTTCTCATATTTGTTGAGCTTATTTCCTCTACTTTTATTTCAATTTTTTTCATTTTAAAGAGAATAAAAAGTAATTTAAAAAAAAACATTAGAAACGATACAGAATTTCACAAAACAAGATGATCGGAATTCAACAGTGGTTGCTATATTGCATATTGTTGTCTTCAAATTAGTTGTTTGGATTACCAGATATAAGCACGCAAAATTGGTCAGAAGAATTTAAGCATTAACTGTTCCTTTCAATGAACCAATAGACGTCAGTCCCCTACTTTTCTACTATTCTCAAAACAATTTTTATAATTATCAAAAAGTAACACAGCAGTGTAAAATAAGCCAAAAATAAAATAAAGCGTTTGCTAATAAGATCACGCTGCACATAACACAAAAACACGAACATGTGGAGATTCAGAGGTAAAAATAAGAATTTTTTAAAATTTGTTTTTCTCTGAGTTTTTAGCCTTTCAAAAGTAATCTGTACTATACATGATGAACTTGCATGGAAAGAAATCAGGAAAATAATTCATCTAGAGTAAGATAAAAAAATGAATACTAAGGAATAAACTGAATCAAGGGGGTGAAAGTCTTTTGGAATGAAAATTATAAAGTACTGGAAAAAGAAACTGAAGAAGACACCAGAAAGAGAAAATCTTTGAGGGAAAATTATTCTAAGAAATACAAAGGCAAAACTACCCACCTGTTGAAAGTTCAACTACAGTTTATTAAAAATGAATCAGCGTTAGAGTAGGAAATTGTACATGTTAATTTTAAACATTTTTAAATTATGAAGGTATATGTAAGACTAACATATGATGTAAGAATTAGTTGAAGAACATCTTTGTCTTCTCCAACCACTCGAAAAAATAATGAATTACTAGACTGAAACCCTCTTGTGTCTCCCCTGTGAGCTTGTCCTATTGTTACTATCACCATCTCATGATAACTACCTTCCCGAAGTCTGTGGTCTTTATAACTCTTCTTATTTCTTTTGATAATGTTTGTATTTCTAACCAGTACTTACTAAGAAATTTAACATTTTATGTATATCCAACTCTATGCCTTTTTTATTCCTAATAAAATCTTTTAAACATTCAGAGTATTCACCTTTTCTGTTTCATTTGATGCAAATATCACCCCATGTGACCACTCTAATGCTCCTTTTAGATGAATAGAAGTCTTGTGATGCATTTTCACAAAATTTTACATTTTCCATAAAAGGAAGTTTTTTACATGTAGAGTTTCCTCTCTAGATAATTTTATAATTGCTACTGTTGATCAATCTTTCCAAAAATGTTCCTCTGTCATGAGTAGGTACCAGGGCTTCTTGGTTTTTCTGATAGTGTATTTTTTTCTTTCCTATAAACAAAATTATTCTACAGCACATGTTTTACAATCACATTTTTCTCAGCACCTAATTCTTGTGTGCTGCTCCTTGCATATAGTGTATAATCAGCAATTGGACTGGACCATGAGTTCATAATCAGACAGGGTCTGTCTTTATGTCTTTTCTGCAGGATGTCAGCAACCATAGAGAAGTTTAAAGTTTTATAACAGTTTTAAACATGCACTCAGCATATAACTGATCCAGTAGCACTTTAAAATATGTTTGTAATTGAGGTTTCACTACAATGTAAAAATGTGAACTGCAAACCTACATAAAGACAAAGAGATGCTAAAACTTACCCAAACAAGGTTTTCTTTTTCCCCACCCAGAGCCTAGGGTACAGCATAGACCATCTGTTTCTTTTTATTGTTGTAGAGTGACTTTCTTCTCACTCTTCCCTTGAATTTACAATTTAGAAATTAGAAAATTCTAATTTCATGTGGCAGTCTCCAGCTAATGCAGGCACAAGATCGTGTTCAAATTTGCTATTGAAGTACAGGCTTTTTGTTTGCAAAGACTGAGCAATTTATTAAAGAGCATTTATTAAAGAGCAGTATTTTATTAAAGAGCATTATCCCAACACCCTAGTTTTTGATATGCCTTTCATTATTGGGCACTAGAATTTCCTACCTTTCATGTGGCCATAGTTTAAGAAGAATTTTTTCTTCCATAAAATATTTTGTCTAACATTTCTAGCTTATCTAACTTTCCTTACTTCCAGAAATCAAAGTTACCTTGTTGTTGAAGTCGATTATTTTGTACTAATTAATTTCCTTACTTAGGCTGTATTGTATAATAGAAATTGAATGCCCTGTAGTTTTGTAGCTGGAAAATTACCTGAATGGTCTTGATGCTCTTGCATACTTGGGATCCGAAATCCTCTGAGGAACTTCAAATGATAAGAGAGAGGACTGGTAAATATGACTCTCACTACATCTTCATAGTGGGTTGAAATTAGTTCTGTCATATTTTCTTCATCTGGAAAAGCTATTGCTTTTCTTCCTGCCATTACAAGAAAAAACTTATCACTATCGATGAATTACTAAAAACAATGATGTTGGGAAACCATGTTCTATTCCTTTATATAGATTTGTTTTTATAAAAATGAACCCAAGTTACACAATGCCCTTAAATAAATCACTCAAAATAAGGATGCGAATATATTTCTATGATTCTAAATAACATCAGAAGGAATACATGGAAATTAATTTTCTTTCATACTCTCTCCTTAACTACCTAGGTTAGTGACATAAAAGTATCATAAAATTCCAACTAAATTATTAACAGAAAAATGACACATCTAAAAATCCCCAAATTGTATAGAACGGTGAATGTGTATATAGCTCAACCAGCCCTGATTTGCATCAGCAGAAGTAACTATATAACTATATTTTCCTTAAACAGTTATGTATGATTAAAACATCCAAAAGGAGTATCAAGTTTTTAATTAGAATAGCACAGTGGGTATCACCAACATAATTTCTATTTTTCCAGGGGTATTGTGTTCAACTCTATAAATAAATGTATATAAAATTGTATATAAATATATGTTAAAAGCTAAATGAAAAGTGAACACTTGTTTCTCCATTGCAATGTATAATTGCATAAAAGGGAAGGACAAGACATCATGTGTTCTTATAAAAATGGATTTTAATCCTTAATACCTACCCTAAATCTGTAGAGTACTTGGCAAGTTACCAAATCTTGTTCCTCAATCATTTTAAAAATAACACGTGCATTGTGGGATTAAACTCTTAAAACTCTGGCATACAATAACTAACAATTATTATCATTATTGCATGTGCCTTTGGATGTTCAGAAGCACAATGTCAAAGTAATGTGGACCTCAGCAGGACATCTGTGAAAGACAGGACAATCCCAAGCACATCTCAGGACAGGGTGAAGGTGAACCTTACATGGACCTTTGTATCAGGGCTTGAACTTGAATCAAGTGGATTCAGCATTGGTAGGTAAGCGCCACTGTGTAAAGATACAGATTTAGCTGTAAGGGGTGGTCTGATGTTTGATAAGGTGCCACAGGGAAGTAAGCTTGGGATAGGTCGCAAGCACAGCCTGGCAGTGTGCACTGAACTACGGACAGGAAGGAAAGCCTGGCCACCTCCAGGAACTGGCCACAGTCTCTCCATGGTAGGCGCCTGCACTCATGCTGCAGTGAGGGGGAACTTCTGAACACAGGGTCTGCTTTTTGGGGCTCAGAATTCAAGGCAAATTTAGTATTTACATGGGCCAGTGTACAGAAGGTGTCTAAAAAGGGATGAGTGCTTTATAGACTTCCAGCAACTTGTATGGAAGTCTACAAGCCACGTAAGAACAGTTCTCTTGAAGGGGGCTTTTGATACTCTGAGGGAATGTCAGCTTCCTTCTCTGAAACTTTCATAGTCAAATCTAAATCACATTTGTAGAGTCATCTTCATGGATATTTTTAGGTTTTTTTCTCATTTCGTGTTAAAGAGCACTGTCTAGTATACAGAGATGCTTGTAAAAAAGAAAAAAATAACTGTTAGTTGTATCCTCCTGACTACCATTTCTCCTTTCACTAAGGCTCTTGAGATTTAGGAGTCACACCACACTTCTTCTTTTCCTAGCATTATGCAGTTTGAGGGCTCGAATCAGTCAGAGGGGACCTAAGAACTAGAATATTAGGACAGATATGCTTTGCTTCTGTGGCTGTTGTTGATCTAGCTAGAGTTAAAGTTTTGAAACTGTACTAAGAAGTTTAGAATAAGTGCAATTGGTAATTACATTTTTACTTAAAACTAGATGTGTCAGGATTCTCTCACCAATGAAAGGATTCTCTCACTTTCCAATAAATAGCATGTTATTGATTAGATATAACTGAGGATAAAGGCAGCTCAGTGCTATAATTACATTAACCAGGGGCTGGGGATTTAGCTCAGTGGCAAAAAGCACCTGCCTGGCAAGCGCAAGGTCGTGAGTTCGGTTCCTGGTACCGGAGAAAAAC